TTGACTCTGCATGGTCACAGCGTGACAGAAGCACCAAGAAGAAGATTACAGTCAACTAGTACCTGCTGGATCCGTAAAAGGCTGGAACCCATGGTGATGTCCAAAGGCATGAGTGGGAATTTACAGTGGGAGTGAGTGAGTGAGGTCTCTCCGTATCAATCCATAATCAACCTGAAACACTGTAAACCCTTTTTATAAGTAATGAATTCATATAAAAGTGTTCCTGATTTCTTAATATTTTTTTTTATCATTTGGTGTTTTCTCAATAACCAATACTGAAAGTATAATATGCTATGCAATATTTTAGGGTTTAGAATTTAGGGGCCTTGATCACCCAATGCTCCACATACTAGCAAGGTGAGAACTGGTTCTGCACATCAAGGAAGGTATTATTGTTAGTGATGACAGATATTCTCACCCCATTACCACTCAAAGGTTAGTTACACAAGCATGGATTAACCAGAAGGGCTGCCTTGCTCCAAGTCCTTCACCAAATCCTGGGCAACGCAGGTGTTCCCTCCTGTCCTGAGCCATGCACAGTGATGGCAGGGAAGGATTTAGTGAAGCTTGCCTGGGCTGCTGACCTGAAGACATGAGCAGGGAAAAAAGTTAGCAACTGTTGAGCAAGGATGCAAGTTCTATAACAAAGAACACTACACAGAATAGCACATGAAGGTGAGCTACAGAGACAAAACAACCTTTCAGAATGGGAGGGGCTGATACAGAAGCCAAGATTAACCATTACTTTTCAATGTCCACACCAAGAATACTGCCTTGAAAAAAGGTGCCCATATAAAATATGTAACACATGTTTGATAAAAGATGCTCAATAAATACTACCTCTCTTTTGTCCACTAAGCTATTCCCTAGCATTAGAGAGCTATTTCAACAAATTTATACCAAGCAGCTTCTATAGATTGCTGAGTACTAATTTAAAAGATAAAACATTGGTTAAATCTACTAATGATCTAGCTAAAATAATAGAAAAAATGAAAAAATACACCAAACAGCAGGAAAAAAAATTGACCACTAAGATGTTTTCTCTACTCAATTCTTCCTCTTTTTTGGAATAGGTGTCTATCTCCACATTAGCAGCCACAATTTAGAAAATGATAAAGGAAATAAATTTCTCAAATGTCTTTGATAGGAGAGGGTATTAAGATAAAAACAATGTCCCTTGTATAAGACTGTGTATTAGAGGCGCCTTGCTTTTTACAATGTATTAATACATAAAGTACAAGAAATTCCGGAGCTCCAATACTGCACACATGGAACAAACACTATATCTAATATGAAGGTTTATTGAGTAATTTGCTTGGAAAAAAAAATCTGTGCATGCCATCTTTCTCAGCTCTGCTGCCTTTTGTTATTCAGGCATCTCTTCCACTGGACACCTGTCTAGTTAACTCAGGTGTGAGGAGATAGTCAGTGGCTGTACTTTGCAGGAAGTATAAAATTTATGAGTAGTTCATTGTTTGCTTTGAATAAGAAATGCTTCCAAAGCTCCCAGTTTCAAAACCATTTTTACCATTTATTGTGTTCTCTGTCTTTTCCTTACAAACATCTGTTTAACATGCATGTAAGTGAGTTAGGAATATATCCAATGGAACCTTCAGAAATAGAGCCCAGAAAGAGGCCACAGTGGATCATGGCAAAGGATGGTCAAGTATCACAACACACTACTGACATTATCACATGTGCACATACACAAGCACACACGAATAAAACCTCTTACTTGCAAGAAAGCAGGTACCAGCCAAAAAATATATGTTTGACAAAAACACTGAAAACTATATACTAAAATTTAGGTTAAAATAACAGGGACCAGAGATGAGGGTGGGGGTGGGGGACTAGCAGTGCACTTACTATAACATGCTTCTTTCTACTTCAAGAATTTGAAAGCTGGACTCCTTGGTGGTCCATTGGTTAAGAACCCACCTGTCGATGCAGGGGACAAGGGTTCAACCCCTGGTCCAGGAAGATTCCACATGCCACAGAACAGCTAGGCCTGGCTGCCCGACTACTGAGCTCACAGGCTGCAACTGCTGAAGCCCAGGCACCCAGAGCCTAAGCGGCAATGAAGATCCAGTACATCCATAAGGAAATAATAGTAAAGAATTTGAAAGCTACCTATTTTCCCAAATACTATCATTCTAACCACAGAGTATGCTTACTGTCCAATGGAAAAGTGTATTATAATAAGTCAGATGAAATGTTTGTACCATTATCCAGAGTGATTTTATACCCAAAGATCAACGACACTGAATAAGCTAGTATATTTAAAATAATTCATGGCATTAAAAGAGAAGTCGAATTTACTTTAAAATGGTCCTTTTGGATGCAAAAAGCAAATAATGAAAGAAGCAAAAAAAAAAAAAAAAAGTAAAACTGGAGTACTGAAGTAACTGTAGTTTTATACTTCATTTCACCTAAATTGGTCAGGCATCCTCTACTCCCAGAAATGCCTGTGATGGGTTGCCAAGTTAGCCTGGACTTCATCTCAAGAGTTTTTTCACTGCTATGATTCAGCAGTTGCCTATTACTACCAAACAATCTCAGCATGGTCAAGAACACATACAAACTACACTTCTGACTCTGAGGAGTGTATCCCCTGGCATTCACAGCTTACACAAAGAGATACTTGAGTGAAGTTCAATTTTTTTACACTTGAAAAAGGAAAGAACATTTAATGCAATAAGGGTAATTACAATGCTCTTAACCAAAGTTGCCAGATTCTATGGATTCCCTCGAGTTAGTTGTCAAACATTTTTAGGAGGAATCCATACCTAGAGGCTAATTAAGAATAATGGATAAGTATTAGCTACCAGGAATGTATTTCATAAATCCAGTGTTCATAGTACTTCCACCTAGAGAATTTTGCAAAGGCAATTTATGAACACTAAAATGTTTTCCTCATAGAGAAAGCCCACCACATGTAATGCTGTAAATTATATGATTTTCCCCCCCACCCTTTACAAAGTATACCAAGTTCTAAAGTGATCTGTAGGGGAAGAGTAGTTTCTAAATCACCTCAAAGTCAAATATTTTCTCTTTCATCATCATTTATGAAACACATTAGTAACATAAACCAAACACATCAGAGTTAAGAAGAATGAGGTCCTGATTAAACACCTGGATCTCTTTAATAGCAACTTCAATATAATCATCAGTAACCACAGAGCTCTGGAATATTAAAAAGGGAATATATGATCTCAAGCAAAGGTTCAAATGAACACCTCTAGTGCCAGTTGAGGTTTGGGGTGTGGAATTCAATGAACAGTAGACTATGGGCTGAAAACATATTTACATTCCAGCACCTGTCGCTCATTAACTGAATCTATTTGGGCAAAAAACTGAACCTCTCTGAACTTGGGCTTCCTATCCTTGAAGTGAGGATAGTATTACTCATGTGGTCCAGTTCACAAGACTGTAGCAGCAACAGCAGCAGTGGAAGTAATAAAAAAGAGAAAGCAGTAACACAACTATCATCTTCTGAGGGCTTACAGTGTGAGGTGACGGAAAACCACATGATAAGATGGGCATAACAGTGTAGACAAGGAAGCCGAGGCTCAGCGAGAAGAACTCACACAAGGTTGTACATGTGCTCCTGGCAGAATGTAAGAGTGAGCAGCAACAACTCTGAGTCCAGAGGCTGTGACCTGGTTCACATCTCAAAATGTATCCTCATGAGTCGTCTGATGAGGTAATGTTCGTGACTGCACTGTAAATGGCAAAGTGCCAGTAAGGCAATGTGTTATTAGTGTAATTTTTTAAAGTTGCTGAAGTGGGTTTTCTGCTGAGTACATGTACTATTCTTAGCAAGAGCCCACCAACTCAAGAAAGAAATTAAGAAAAAACAGGAATGAATATGTGACTTGAGGCCTACGGCAATGGAAAATAACTTTAAATTAGATGTGACAGTTTGTGATGTCATTTTCTACATTTGCACATTCACATGCATCCACACAAAGACCCAACCCACAAACATCAAGTACTTCTCAAGACATCAGAAGAAGCTGCTGGAATCAAAAAGCTGAAAGATGTGTTGTATAGGGGTCATGGCTCACCAGCCCACAGGCTGTTCACAGGAGCTAATTAGAGACATGGGACAAGCAAGTGAGGCTGCAAATAGTCTGTGGCCAAGCTTCCTGGGACCTTCAGCACATTGGTGAAGCTGAGGGTCAATAGGATGGTTCAGCCTCCTCACTGAAAGCCACAGACAATGATGGTGATCAGGAAAGCTAGCCAAGGCATAGCAACCATCTCTGCACTGTCCGAATTATTCTAAGCCTTTGAAACAGAAGAAAGAGTCCATTCACCAAGGACAGGTAAACTGAATTACAGGTTAAATCCTGAGTGAAATGGAAAAGGCAGAAGATGCTGACATGTATACTTCTCTTCTCCATTTCTGCTTTTCTGAGCTTGTCCTTACTCCTGCTGGTGCCTCTGTGCTGCCTCTAGCTTATCCCATCTCAGGCAGCACATCCTTAAATGTTTGTGACCATCCTCCCCCTCCCCTTATTGTGTTACTGCTTTTTATTTTTCTCTAGAAGAGAGGAAATAAACCCCCAAGACCAGAGTGTACAGGTGTCTGGATTAAACACTGCAGGATCTCTGGAGATGTTTTCACATCAGTCTCTTCCCAGAAATGCTCTCCCCCTCATTCTGGATATGTACAGTGCATAAACTGTACAACTATACCCAGCAGTCCTGTATACAGACCCCAAATCAGAATAGCCACAAAGAGTTTTATCCATTCATCTGTTCATTCACTCATTCAAGTAATAAATATGTGCTGCATCTAGCATGTGCCAGACACTAGTAGGTCTTGGGACAAATACTAGTAAAAAATAATGTATAATCCCTGCCCTCAAGAGACTTACAGTCTAGACACATCATCAATGAGTAACATTACAGAGTAGAGCAAGCTAGACTTGGGGGATATACAGGAGGGGATTCACATGCAGTCTGGGCATCAGCAAAGGGAGAGCAGGCCTTACCACATTTGGGTTGACCTTATGTCGGAAGCACGTGATGTTCACCACATATGGCCAATCATCAGGCTCCATCAGCACCCCAGCAGCATGAGCACATGTGACGTGGAAGGAGGCCGGGCAACGCCCGTAGGAACACTGGATGCAGGCTCCAGAGACCTTCTTAACCCGGTGTCTGCAGAACATGCATTTCTGCAGGATTAAAACAAAGACTGTCAATTCAAACTCTGTTAACTCAGCAAATTTCCACATTTCACAGCATAACAACTTTTAGAGAGGAAGAAAACTGATGACATCAGCAAGGCCTGATCTCCAGGGGCCCTAGCGGTGAAACTGACTGTGGCAATACAAGCCACATACCTTCAAGGAAACATGCCGGTATGGCCACATCCTATAAGACATATGCAGAAACACTCCTTGCAGTTAGGAAAGCCAAGCCCCTCTCCACATGCTTCTCCATGCAGAGAGTTGAGGAAAAGGCCCCCTGGTTGCTCCTGTAAATCATCCATGAACTCTGAAGCTACTTCTCTTTTACCGCCTGCATGGCGGGCTTTTCTGTACATCAGACAGGCACATATTCTCCTAAATTAGATGAGGTCATTAAAAATACCCAAATAGCACACAGATGGGCTAAGGTTTCTATTTACAGGGAAATGTAAAGTGTTAAATGGGCCAATGTGGAAACTACAGGCTCAAGTGTTTAATAATCCAAATCTGAACCTTTCATGACTGAAACAAAAATATGCCTCCCAAAGTGAGAAAATTGAAAATCACCCCAAAGGGCATAATTTTGTTGAATAACTATAGCTGACTATGCCTGGGAAAGGAAGAATGGAAATAAAAACAGCAATAATAATTACCACAATCTGAAAATTAAATTGCATACAATTAGCCCTAAATGTTATCAGTACATTTGTTATGAGAGATGGGAAAAAATCAAACAGCTTCACTAAATGCAAGATTTGTGAACTAATACTTGACAATTAGGAAAAAAGAGTTGTAGAACAATGTAGGACCAGGTTCAGAAAGCAAAAGAAACAGAATGATCAAAAAGCTCAACTGTTCCTTCCTACGGATAAAGGAAGTCTGTAAGCTGACCAAATGTTGGTGAAAATGCTTTTCTTTTATAGGTACGTTTTCTTTCCTGAGGCAAAAAAAGATACTTGCACTTAATGACCTTAGAGGACAGTAATATCTTATCACCGACTTGCAGGAATCAGTGTGTCCTAAACTTCTAACTCTTTGCCCTCATATCTGATCAGCATCTTCAGTCTTATAGATTCTGCACCTTAATCTTACTCTGATTTCACTCTACTCATCTACACCAACTGCCACGATCTTGGTCCATGGTGTCTTGCCCAGTGTAATAATGGCCTCCAACTGGACCTCTTCTTTTATTTCATGTCATTTTGATTCATCTACCCAAAGAACTAAAATAAGACCCATTATAATATGAATAAAAGCATTATTTAACATCTGATATCTCTTTGGCAAATTCTTGGTATTAGGTTCAGTATATTCCTGGTAATTCTGAGTATTCTGGTATCTTTTTTCTCAAATCCAACCATTCGAAATATGATGACAGGTAAAGCAGCAAGACCTCATATCAGAAACCCCAGGCATAATCAGATAATCTTTTAAGAGCCTAATCATACCACAGTGAGGTCAGTGTTTGAATAAATTCAGATACTGACAGATGTATGAAAGGAGAAATTGTTTCCTATTTTACTAATTAAATAGAATCAAGAATAAGGAAGAGTATTATGACTTAGCTAATTAATGAGTTGATAACTCCAAGCTTCTCAGCCTCTTCTACAATTCTTCCTCAATAAACAGCAACTCCAGAAAGAAGGAAGGAGACACAGAGTATACATTTAAGCTCAGTAATAACTCAATCCTTGGAAATTTGTAAGGGAAATGCCTCCTTTCCCAGGAAGACCGGATGGGGTCATTTCTAAGGATAGATCCATGATCCTTAGAAAGTCAACACAACTGCAGACTACTGTAATACCATGCTTTAGAAGATACTTATGGAGTTGAGAAGTTTGACCTAAACATTAAAGTTGTTCTTGCAGAGACAGAGAATTCTGCAAAACTTGGTAGGGGAGCCATTTTTTATCTTGTAGTACAGTCTACATAGTACTTCTGAACCCGTTTCACTTTTGTTGTTGTTCAGTCACTCAGTGGTGTCCAACTTTTGGCGACCCCATGGACTGCAGCACTCCAGGCTTCCCTGTCCTTCACCATCTCCCAGAGCTTGCTCAAACTCATGTCCATTGAGTTGGTAATGCCATCCAACCATCTTGTCCTCTGTTGTCCCCTTCGCCTCCTGTCCTCAATCTTCTCCAGCATCAGGGTCTTTTCTAATGTGTCAGCTCTTCACATCAGGTAGCCAAAGTACTGGAGCTTCAGCTTCAGCATCAGTCCTTCCAATGAATATTCAGGATTGATTCCCTTTAGAATTGACTGGTTTGATCTCCTTGCAGTCCAAGGGATTCTCACGAGTCTTCTCCAACATCACAGTTTCACTTGCTTGCTACTAAACCAACTGTTCTTTACGCTGGCTGAAGCATCTGTGGCAATCTGACAACTGCACTGCTGGGCTATGGAATTTAACTCAATAAGGTAAAGATGAGGATACATAAGACACTTTCTAGAATGTTTCAAATTAGAATAAAATTAAGTACTATGAAAGAAGTAGAAACAAAATGCCATATGGAACTAGAATGACCAGTGCAATGAGGGTATGCTTGTGGGCAACAGAAGAAAGAAGGCTTTAAAGAAATGCAATGCTGACTAGATCAAGATAGAACATTTAGCCCCTGCTATAAACTCTCCAGTCCCAAACCCTAAATAAATAAAGAGATAGGAAAAAGAATGAAACCACAATAGCACTAACTAACAAAAAAAAGGAGCACTTAATTCCAGGGACAAGAGCCTCAGTAAAAACTATTCCTAGGTATCTCTGAGGAGGCAGTTCTGGCAAGGCCAATGCCAAGAGCAGAAGCAAATAATTAAAATAGTTAAATTTATTAAAAATTTAAATAATTAAAATCTTTCCCAATGGGTTAAAAAATAAAAGACAAGTGACCCACTTCCAAGCCAGCTCCATGGTCCACCCTGCCCCCACTCATCACCAGCAGGTGAAGTAAACTGATCTGATCTGAACCCAAGTACCTGAGCTATCGTTCGCCAGTAGGACAAGTAGATTCTCATTTGGGCTAAGAGAAAAAAAAGTGCACCCTAGTATGCAACCAGAATACAATCATATACTTTAAAAATCACAAACACTTGAAGGAAAAAAATGCCATGAACAAGAAGTGCTATACTTATAGAAGAGTTGGCCTAAGGAATCAGGTAATAAGAAACAGAAGATTAGTTAAAAGAGATATAGTACATATTATGATAGAGATTCCAAACTATATCCCATCAACTAAAAAACAAAAACAGTAACAAGTTACAGTTCTAATATTAAAAATATTATTGTTAAAAAAAACAAGATGTGCCAAATTCTGGAATGGAACCCAATGAAGATCAAATTAGCAACTGAAAGATGGAGCCCAGAGATTGTACAGAACACAGAAGAAAAGATCAAAAAGAAGCAAAATGAAGCACAAAGGCTAAGGAGTATGGAAAAGAGATCCAGATGTTCTATTGTCTCTCTAAGAGGCATTCTAGATGAACAGAAAAAGAGAAAATAACAGAAAACAATCCTGACCTGAAAAAAGGCTCAACAAGTAGGACTGATTTTTTTAAATAACCTAAACACATCTTAGATTTCCAAATAAATAGAGAAAATTCCCAAATCTTCCAAAGAATAAAAGAGAAAAATCAGATTACCATAAGATCTCTAGTCTGCAACAGTGAGTGCTAAAAGACAATGAAACAATGTTTTCCAATGTCTAGAGGAAAATTAAATTAGGTCTACAGCCAGCCTAATTTTCTTTCAAACATTAGGGCAAACAGATCTTTTTCCCCACAGTCAAGGATCAGAAGTATACAAGAAGAACTAAAGATTAACCAAGAAGCTAAATATGTGGATAAATCTAAATGAATACAGACTTTATAAACAATAATAGTAATGTCCTCTGGGTTTGAAATACAAAGAGAATTTGAATAGATGATGATTGTAGCATGTATGGCAGAGAAGGCAATGGCACCCCACTCCAGTACTCTTGCCTGGAAAATCCCATGGACAGAGGAGCCTGGTGGGCTACAGTCCATGGGGTCGCTAAGAGTTGGACACGACTGAGTGACTTCACTTTCACTTTTCACTTTCATGCGCTGGAGAAGGAAATGGCAACCCACTCCAGTGTTCTTGCCTGGAGAATCCCAGGGACGGGGGAGCCTGGTGGGCTGCCATCTATGGGGTCGCACAGAGTTGGACACGACTGAAGTGACTTAGCAGCAGCAGCATGTATGGCAGAAGTGGTAAAAATGGAGTGACATAAACACTAAATGTTCTTATGTTCTTGAATTGACTGGAAAAAGGGTAAAAGTGCCAAAAGTGAAAAAAAACAGAATAAGGAAAAATAATAAATTCAAACAAAGACATGAAAAGAAAGAAACAGAAACACAGAATGGGTGGAAGCAAAGGAAAAAGCATACTGGAAATTTGCAGAACTAAACCCAATCATTCAGTATGTTAAGTGTAAACAGACTAAATTTTATCTTATAGACTAGGGTAGTGAACTTTTTCTAAAAGTGCCAGATAAATATTTTAGGCTTGTGTGCCAGACAGTGTCAGCTGCAACTACTCAACTCTACACTGTGTAGTTGAACTGAACAATGTGGGGATTAGGGACACCAATCCAACCTCTGCACAGTCAAATATCAAGTAACTTTTGACTCAACCAAAACTGAACTAATAATAAATTACTGAAGCCTTAATGATAACATAAATAGTTGATTAACACCTATCTTGTATGTTATATGTTTATATATTCTTAAAATAGAGAAAACATTATTAAAATACTCATAAAGAAGACAAAATATGTTTACAGTACTGCACTCTATTTATCCATACTTAAGATTATGTCTTTTCCGATGAGTCAACTCTTCGCATCAGGTGGCCAAAGTACTGGAGTTTCAGCTTCAGCATGAGTCCTTCCAATGAACACCCAGAACTGATCTTCTTTAGGATGGAATGACTGGATCTCCTTGTAGTCCAAGNAGGGAGGCCTGGCGTGCTG